TCCCACAATCATTTTGTATTTGTTATGAACTTTGTTGTTGTTGTTGTGTATCATTTGTAACAAGTACTATTGATTTTGGGAAAAGACAATGTTATCATATGCATATTCTGAATTTGTCTGGTTGAAGGAATAAGTTAGGAAAGTTGATCCTTACCTTATTGCCATGTCATGTACCCGATCATTCTAATATCATTTGATCCTTTTTCTTGGCCTAATTGATTTTTTCTGGAGGTAACAAAATGGGTTAAAATGGGTCCACTAACCCAATTTTCCGTTCATTTTAGTTGGGTTGACTTTTAAAATTAATCACTTTTTTATGAATTGATTAAAATGAGTTGTAAGAAACAAAGGCTAACTAAAACTTGATCTAAATGGATTCGACTCAGATTTTATTTAAGTTAAGGTTTAGATATGTTACTATTTTACTTGTCACACTTTTCTTTTCTTCATTCTCTCCTTCCGAGGAACATCTAAGATAGAGAGTGATTTTAATGATTTATTTTGGTAGACCCATGATTTTTTTCTTTGGGTCACACATCACAAATTACATGGACGATAATGAAACTTTGATATTTCGTTTGTGTAAAGATGGAATAAAACTCAAATTTAATAAAATTGTGGAAAAATATCGCACAAAAGATTTCTGGCAACGCATGGTCCTGACCATCTTGAAAGATTAATTGCAGCTTAAATCATCCCTAAACCAGTTTTTAATAAATAGCTATTAAACTTAAAAAAAGAAGAAAGAAAGAAAGAAAGAAAGAATTCACGGGCCACGTCATTTCTGTGGTTGCTGTACATTGGGGGGCATATCTGGAAGTTGGACTTGGACGGTCCAAGTTGGACCTAAACAAGAAAGAAAAAGGTAAAGGCCTTTGGATTATAGACCTATACAACTTAAAATTTGCGTACGAACAGAATTCAATAGCCTCCTTTAAACCCAAAATTCATTCAAGTTACTTCATTTATCGAAGTGTATGGTGTTGAACACCATCTTAACGTTCCAACTCTCGATGGATTTGAAAGATTTCAAATCTTTGAGTATTATCAGATTTTTTAGTATTTACAAGAGTAGAAATTTACATCATACATGTATCTTCCTAGGCATGGACTCTTCTACTCAATTAGATCAAACTTATAGCATCGGGAGAAATAATAGGAGATGTGTTTTACTAGCTTGATTCGTTAAATTTTTTAGCAATTTCTTTTTTGTTAATTTTTTTCATTTTTAATTCATTTTTAATTGGCTATGCTATTTTCCATATATAAGGGGAAAGATAGATATTGGAGCTTGGGTTAGGTATGGATGGGGTCCAGATCGAGTTTAATACGGATCAATAAAAGCGTAGTCTTCGTATAAGTGTTACATGTCACTTCTAAAGGTATTGCGTTGCATGACCATATAATATCATTAGACATAAAAGTAAAATAAGCCAAAATTTTAAATCCGTACAACACACCCATCTTTGTATAGTACATAATAAAGATATTGCCATAGCGAATTACCAAAATAATGTAAATAATCACAAAATTGTACTGTCATAATCATTTGTTGCTTCAATGCCATTGAGGCATTTCCCTTTTCCCACATGTCTCCCCTCAACTATTATTTTTAACAAGATCATCTCGCGGTCTATTCTATTCATACAATTGAAAATTTTCAAAAGATATCTGTTAACTCCATACTCATAGCTTTGTTTCCGAGAATCCTCTCTCTCTCTCTCTCCCCAAACATAAATTGCATGGTTAAGGTACAACTAATTCAGGTTATTCCATGTGCTTTGCTCTGCTGAGTTCCAATTTTTATACGATCGATGTTCTTGTCATGGACACAGACTGAGTTGGTCTAAGTCCAAAATCGAAAAGCATAAAGAAGAAAGATCTAAGACTAATAGTTCAAACGAGAATATGAAACGTCACATTCTACACCAAAGAGAAAGATGAAACTTATTGAAACTCTGATAGAACTCAAAGCTAGATCTTGATCATTTGAACTTATGGCCACGAACAACTGATTTGATTATTTCGTTCGCCATCAAAAAAACATCGTGCTGATCATTTAGCTTTGTTCTGCACGAGTAAGCCTCGCAATTACCATGGACGATAGTAGCAATATCATTCCAGATCTTGAAACAACTTTGTTGCATAGCTTACCGATCGAATCCAACATTACAACAGCAAAATTCGAAATCTTCACAATGGGATGACAACCATTTCTCAAGGAAAGGACAAGTATAACGAAGCTATCCTCTATCTTGGATTAATGGCACGTTAGTGTATCTTCAACGAAAGCAAAAAGCAATTTTTATTCACTTTCCCGCCCGAATATAAAACATTATACAAGTTTCAAAAAATTATGGAAAAATTATTTAAGGATTTACGTGTCAAAATTTGTATATTGTGAAAGTTTCGGGTTTTACGGGGTAAGAAAAAGTCAATATGTAGCCATCGTAACCACAAGCACGCCACATGACATCGTCACCACAAGCACGCCACACGACTGCATTTTCCTACTCCATGGTCCCAATTTAATCCCTTCCAAGTATAAGTCATGGGATGCTCCGAGTAACGGTACTTGCATTTGTTGAAGAACATGTGCATTGCTTTAATATGTAGGCTGAACTTCCGTATGCTCACTAGGTTTACGAATAGTCGCACTTTGATTACTGTTTATATGTGCATTAAATCGAAAAGAATAATTGCCTATTGCCTCTCTCAAAATGCCTACAAGCATAGTAATCCTGCCTTCGGCCCTTCCTCACTGATAGGATATTTAAATATTAAATCACGCATTTATCCAACAGTTTAAGTTTTTTGAATAGTCGGCAATGATCCTACAAAATTCCACGCTAATTAACAAAAGAAAGAAAAAAAAAGGCACTTGCAAGCGTAGTGTCAAAACTGCTAGGATCGATGATGTTGTTCCTTAATCCTGAATTTGCAATAGTTCTTGTACGCGCTTTCCAGCGTTACCTGTGCACACACGCGACGGGAATGGAAGTAGGCGCTCCGTACTGAAATTTGACGGTTGACGAAGACACGGCCGAAGTGTCTTAGAAAGTTCATTTGAACAAAGTAACTCCCCTATTCTTCATTATTATGGATACGTCACGACAAATTTGGGCCAACATGTAATTCCCCAAATCCTTATCGAAGATATGGGTACCCTCCCAAACAAAATAAACGAATGAATAAATGGCAGAACAGATGGCCCATACATATTGCGATGAAGAGCTCGTTCCGTTTACTCACATAACTGAAAAACCAATCCCAGAGTTCACAGAGCTTCGACTTCTCCCGAACATGGATGATCATGCAGCGACACTCGAAAGGTACGTAATTCATTCCTGTGAACGTGTTCTTAGAACTCTGCTTAGAGCACGGATTAAGTAGCAATTGTCTTTTTTTTTCTTTTGGATTTGTTTTTCTTGCTATTAATTTATTCTTGATTCGATACCGGGACGACGAGCAACCACAACAGTAATAGCAAGAAATCTTTGACTTAACAAAGATATTTCATATTATATTCACTTCGTCCAAGCTCTTTGTCATCGTGCATTTTAATTCGCAGCATACTGGGCCGCTGAGCCACGCGATCCTGCACTTTTATATCATATGTGAAGTCATCTATCTCCTCTTACCGATCAAAGTGACTGGACCGGCGAGTCAGAACCCATCATACCAGTACTTGTACATTATTTTTGGAACTTTCGGTTCCGAGTTACTTTTGTGGACAAGCCTATCTCTGACCATGTGACTGGTCGTCAATATGTGCGTGCTAATGCTTACTTTAGCATGTTTGCTTGCGCGAGATTTCGACCATTTTCGAGAGATTGTTCAGCTGTTCGACAAGACGTCCTTTTCTGAAGTTCAATTGGATTCTTAGAGCCCTTGCAATCATATTGCATGTGGGTGTCAACCTTGTTGCTTGTCATTTATAATAGATAATTCTGATATTAATAATTTACTATTGTAGACCCATGAATTTTTTTGGGTCAATCTTCACAGGTTATATAGATAATTATGAAGCTTTGATATTTCCATGAATAAAGATGGAATAAAACTCAATTTAAGAAAATCGTGGAAAAAATATCGCACACAAAAAATTTCTGGCAACACGAGGTCATCTAGCATTAATGGACACCTCGAAAGATTGACTATAGCTTAAATCATCCCTAAACCAGTTTTTAATAAATAACTATTAAAATTAAAAAAAGCAAAACAGAAAATTGGAAAGAATTCATGGGCCACTTCAAATCTTGATGGATCTGAATATTTTTAAATTTTTAAGTATTTTCAGATATTTTACTATTTTCATATATTGCTTTAGTAATTTATTATTTTTATTATTTATTTGTTTTTAATTGGTTAGTTTTTTTAAGTGCTATTTTCTATATTTAAGGGGGAAAATTGCCAAGAATTGGAGCACAAGATAGTTTGGATATGACTTTGGTTTGAGTCGAATCGGGTATATGGATCAATCAAATTGTATAACATAGAAACATGGGTCAACTTGGGTCGGATCCATTTTCGACCCAAGCCACGCTTTTGATAGATCTAGCAAATATCAAGTATATTGGTTATCCTCTTGTACTGCATTGCATGGATTTACGGCAATTATGACTACAATTGCAACAACAACCAAATTCCTAATAGTTATACATATATACCTGTGAGATTTGTTCCGCAGGGACGATGAACTTTCTCCGGTAGCCATCGCATGATGCCTAATCGCCAAAAACAAGAGATTAGATGCTTGGGTGCGTTGTTAATACAGATTTAGGTATGGTGTTCGCCTTTTGATAGCATAGCCAGTCTTTGACCCTGCCTAAACAGTCGTCGGATTGATATCGGAGTCCCAAAACAATGCTTCATCAACTCCTGGTCCGGCAAATTTCACATCTGCCTGGTGATTGCATAGCCAATCTTTGACCCTCACCTCAGTAAAGCAATAGGGCATTAGTCTCATGATAGCAATGCCAAACCAAGCCAGCCAAGCATTCTCAATCAAACAGATAAAATCTACTCATTTTCTCACCTCCGAAAGTATGTGAAAAATATATAATAAAATCACAGAAGGTATCTAACTGTCGATAGAGGACCGGAACCGGGACTCGATTAGGTCATAGGCTCTCATAGCCAGCTCCTACCAAGACCTCCTTCTTTATAATAACTAGCGGAAAAACAAAAAAAAAAAAAAAACAGAAGCTGCTATACAATTTGCCTTGGAAGCATATACCGACATCATCTTATAATGATACCCTGACACAATACAAGACAACATAAACTCATCCCTCTCGCTTTACTCTCAGCTAAAACTGGGCTACTGCTGAAAAGTGCAAAGCCATCTCCGCATCTGGTAAATTAACTTATCCAACAGGTGACTCACTCTCTCTATTGACAAATGCCAAAAAACACGTATATTAATACCACGGCTAGCAAGGACTACCTAGTCTCTTGGGCTTTGGCCAACTTCTCCCTTCTTTTCTTCACAGCCTTGGGGGCTTAGTTTTTCCTCGCTTCCCCTTTTTCCTCTTTGACCTTCTTTTGGTTCTCCTTCCTAGCAGCCTTCTTGTCAACAGGAGCCCGCACCTCAGTTTCGGAAGCCGACTCATTTCCTTCTGAATCTTCATCTACATCTGTATCAGACTTGGACTTGCTACCGCCAGCTTTAGTATTGTTGCCAGGATCGGTCGGCTTTTCTATAGCATTAGCGTCCTCCTTCGTGAGAGCCTTATGTAACCGGGGAATATTCTTGTAATAGATGTCTCCAGTGTCCTTCCCACTTGTTATCCAAATCACGTCCTCTTCCACATTTTTCACCGAATCTAGTGTCTTCGGTATATATGACTGAAAGAGAAAGCATAGAACATCTCAACTTCAATAACTCGATCACTTAGGCTGTTCTCCAGAATTAAAGGTTCTCACTGCTGAGGTAAAAAGTATCAAGAGAGTCCATTACATTGGAGGAGGGAGAGATGTAGGAAAGAACAGATATTGGAGGGAAAGATATTGTTGAGAATTTTTTTCTTGGCATAGAGCAGGCCTGAGGTCTCAAATTTGTAACTCTTTTACAATGATGAGGTTGTGTCCATGGCCTCATCCCATGATCTCAGACATTTAGCATGCAACTTTCAATCTTTTGCCGAAAATGTACTTTACCTGCTCGACAGTTGCACGGTCAGCCTTCTCATTACTTTTAATTTTGCCAATAGCCATATCCCGTACACTTTCTCGAATTGAAGCTGTCACTGTGCTGGACATGCCAACATTCATGATTCACCCTCCCCTCCCACTCCTGCAGTATTCATTCATACAGTTCATTCTTTTAACAAGTTAGCTGCAGAAGGAAGTGGTAGATATAGTACTAGTACGCTATATATCGACACATGCTTATTCAAGTATCAAAAGTTCCATACCAAAAAAAAAGTATCAAGCTCTAAAATAACTTGTAAAGTGCCAACCAAATGGATGACAGCATGAACTCAACATTTCTTTTCTAGTGAAAATTGGAGAAATTTTGAAAATTGAAAGTTCTTATGAAGTTCCATCACAATTATGGAGGATGGTGAAACGCAAAACTGTAGACAGCTGATACGGGGAGACAGTGAAAAGGAGATTCGCTAGTGTCGTTTAGCGGACTGTTACCACAAGTACACCTGGTGCATACAAGATATATATATTTCAAGCATTGCCACTCGATAAGCATCAGCACTCGTACATCAATTGCAGAAACTACTAGTGAAGCCTATAGATAATTTATCATCACGCTAAAGGCATAATTTAAGTACTTTATAAGAAGTCTTAGCTTCTCAGCTAACAGATCAAAAGTTGTGCAATCTAGGAAAGCAACCATTCTGGGCAGCATACTGCTCTAGTCACACTAAATCAATCACTAGATTCTCCAGCCCTTTCAAAAGAACAGCCCCTATAAATAGAAACCAATTCTTGTATATACCAAAACCTCCTCCTCGTTCAATCTTTTATCGGTAAGAAGTTCTTCAAGCGGTCCTTTCAGTGCTCCCCCAAAAGCACATAAGATTAAAAATCCAATCCGTTTTCGCAGCTCATTCAGAATGCTAACCATATGCCACAAAGTCCAAGCACAAAGTCGACTTCAGACCTCCCTTCCTATTACCTTCAATTCAAACCGGAAAAAGAGGGAGAACCATGACTTTAGGATTTCCAGGCAAGCCAAACGTGTTGTGATCATCGAAGAACATCTCTAATCATCCCCAGCAGCAGAAAGGAGACATCAAAGGGGAAGCGCGGACAAGAGTGGGAGAGTCTCTGGCTCCGGTTGAACAGGGGTTGAAGCGTGGGAAGCCCTCCGTGAGCATTCGGACGTCGAGAATTGGGAGCGAAGGGCTCCTCCGACCACTGCTTCTCCGCCGTCTTTCAAGTCCGACCAGTCCAAGGCCTTCTCGATTTCTGAATCCGAAGACCGCAACTCATCCTCCTCCTCCTCCTCTCTCGTCTTCTTCTTCTCGGACTTCCACCATTCTTCCTTCTTCTTCTTCTCCTTCTTTAATTCCTTCATTCATTATTTCTAATCCGACTTCCATCGATTCTTCTTCCACAACGGATGCCTGTTCTAACCAAACATCAAGTTCCAAAAAGGAAAACTCCGTGAGGCTGGCTACGGTGTGAACGTAGAGAGAGCGAGAGAGGGAGAGAGGGAGAGGGAGAGGGAGAGCTACCTGAGAAGGGACGCGAAGGAGGACGATCAACGGCAACGGCACTCGAGGGACGGAGCTTCGCTGCGGAAGCGACGAGCTCGACTGAAGCAGCGGCTGAGCACAACGGAGGTTTTGTCGGCTGAGCGACCCGACGGTCGGAAATGGGTGAAGGTGTTGGTCGGCCGAGTGAACCGGATGAATTCGCGCAGGCAGGGCGTCCGGTTCAATTCGATCTCAATCCCCGAAGAGAGAAAATCCGGACGGGACATCGGACGTCCTCAAATCGAATCCGTTGATCAGATCAACGGTCTCGATTTCAGGACAAAAAGGAGATGCCCTAAGGTTTTGTCCTGAAATCCTCATGATTGACGCGGAGACTTGACTTTTGCTCCCTTTGGCAAAGTAACGAGTCATTGCAAAGATAGTGCAAAGGGTCGGATGAATTCTGTATGCGGGTAGCATTAACTCGTCCGACCCTTTGCAATGGTCCCCACCCCTTTGCAATTAATTGAAAAGGATCGGATGAATTCCTGGATGCGGGTTGCATTAACTCGTTACTTTACTAAGGGAGCAAAAGTCAAGTCGGGAACAATAGAGCCTCCCCTCTTTCTATAAATGCAGGGAGCAAATCTCTTTCACTTCATCTTTCAAGTCCCATACACAAAACAAAAAGCTCCAAATCGAAATACGTTTAAGCGAGGCGGAGGAGCTCCTGCCGGAGAAGCAGTCTTTGAATCCTCGGTCTCTGCACGTGTTCCCCTTCTCCAGAAAATGGCTGATCAAACAGCGACAACCCAAAGGTACGTGATTCATTTGTATAAATATGCTCTTAAAAACTTTGCTCAAAGCTCTGATTGAGTAGCCAGTTTTTCTTTCTTCCTTCTTTGGAATCCATTTTCCTTTCCATCATTTTCTTTCCTGATTCGCTACAGGGACGATGAGCAACCAGCACGTCAGCAATATCAAGAAAGTTTTGGCTCAACCAAAAGGTTTCATATTGCATATACCTCGTTCAAGCTGTCCGCCATCGCACATTTCAATTCGCAGCCTATCGAGGCATTAAGCCACACGGTTCTGCAGTTGTACATCATCTGCGAAGTCATCTATTTCCTAACACTGATCCAAGTGACTGGACCCGCGAGCCCGAACCCGATATACCAGTATTTGTACATTGTTTTCGGGACTCTCGGCGCCGAGTTACTTATCTGGACGAGCCTGTCTCTAGCCATGTGGCTGATCCTCAATACATGCTTGCTAATGTTTGTTTTGGCATCATCGGGTCTACTCATGCGAGTTTTCAATAGGCTTCAAGAGATTGTTCAACCGTTCAACGATGTGCTGATTTCCGAAGTTCAGTTGGATTTTTGAAGCTCTTGCAATCATATTGTGTTTGTGTATCAATGTTGTTGCGTGTCATTTGAAATAAATTCTTCTGATTGAGGGAAGAGAGAATGTTACCATAGACATGTTCTTTACTGAACATAGTATACTGTTTGTAGATTTTACGTTTTTTGAAGCTCATTTTGTCATGTTGCGTGGACTTGTTTTTTGGGCTTTTGATCCTTTGTTTTTCCTTCTATTATAGTTTCATTGGTGTCTTGAGCTAAAATTTTGTGACTTTTTGGTCTAATAGCTTTTCTATTATATATATACATTTATTTTATGCACGAATAGTAATATCCTTTAAAAGAAACAATCAAGGTACCATTCTCAAAACAAGTGCAATAGGGATGCTAACACCGTCCCTTAGTGAGATTGACTCCCGAACCAGTGCACTCTAAACAAAGTTTTGGTGGCCAATCATACCGGATAAAAGATTGGTGGCAATTCCCTTTTTTTTATTATTTATTTACATTTATTGGTGACGTCCGTTTTTAAGAAAAGCAAGTACATTATTGTTTTCGGATCGAGTCATATCATAAAAAAAAAAAAACTCTATTTTCTATTCTCTCATCTCTCTTCGCACCGTAACATTTTCATTATTTGGAATAAGAAGTAAAAAGGTTAACTATCCAACTTAATCAAACATTAATATTGCTAGAACAATATCCAAACATCAATTTGCATAGCTTCACTAATTAAATGTACCTTGATATACGGTCATATATCTAAATCACCAATTAATAAGCAAGAGTCATATAGGGTCACATATTTTTTCAAATATCAATTTATCTATAAATTTAGGTATGCACAAACATGATTTAACAACAAAGTAAACGATACAATTTTCAGGTGTTTAAAGAATAAATATGTTAAGGAGTTCTAACGAAATTTTAATTTGTTTCCTTAATCAAAGCCGATTTTTATTTTTTGTTATGCAACTTATGTGCAACAAGTGTTTGATGGAAAAAAATCAATTGACGAAGGTTTGTCTAACCTTTTATGGTGTCACAAAGATACCCTAAGACTTTTATCCATTAATTTAATCCACCATTTGGATTAAATTAATGGTGCCCACAATTACTTGTCTTCGGATCAAATTTAATCTAATGGTGACCATGAATGTGTATTACAATCAGGGGCGACGAGCGACCACAATAACAACATGAAAGTTTTGACTTAAGCAAGAGATTCAACATATATTCACCTTGTTCAAACTACTTGTCATCACGCGTTTCAATTCGCAACATACCGAGGCGCTGAGTCCCGTGGTTCTGCACTTTCACATCATTTGCGAGTCATCTATCGTGTAGCACTGATTGAAGTGATCGGATCCACGAGCCGGAACGTGATATACCAATACTTATATACATTATTCTCAGGACAATTGATTCTGAGTTGCTTCTTTGAATGAGTTTGTCTCTAGCCATGTGGCTAATTATAATATGTACTTGCTAACGCTTGCTTTGGCATGTTTGTTCACGCGAGATTCTGACCGTTTTCAAGAGATTGTTTAGCTATTCGAAGATGTGCCAATTGATTTTTTAAACTCCGGCGGTATACTGTATTTGGGTATCATGTTGCATGTTGTTTCTTATAAATCTTCAGATTTTAATAACTTATTTTTGTAGATCCATGATTATTTTTTGGTCAATCGTCACAGAGTCCGTAGACAATTTATGACGAAGGGATGAAACTCAAATCTAATTACGGTGTATATCTTCTTAGTTCAACAATTTAAGTGTGATATTTTTCGGTGCATTGTTAATACTGATTTAGGTATGGTGTATATCTTTTCAAAGCATTTCTTCAAATTTTTCATTTACCTCTTGGGGGTGCGGCTTTCAATTCAAGACATCTTTTCCCTCTCAAACAAACGGTAATGATATCGGAGACTCAAAAATGAAGCTTCACGAACTCTTGCTTTGGCAAATTTCACATCTGCCTAGTAATTGCATAACGAGTCTTTAACAACCCCCACCTCAGTAAACCAATAGACCTTTAATCTCATGATAGCAAGTCCAAACCAAGTCAGCCAAGCATTCTCAATCCAACAGATCAAAACTACTCTTTTTCTTACCTCCGAAAGTATGTGAAAAATCAAATTAAAATTGCAGAAGGTATCTAACTATCGATAGTGGATTGGAACCGGGATTCAATTAGGTCATAGCCAACTCCTACCGAGGCCTCCTTCCGTATAATAACTAGCAAAAAAGAAGGAAAGAAAATATTGAAAAGA